CTCCCTCCTCCTCCCTCTCTCTCTCTCACTCTCTCTCTCTCTTTCTCTCTTAAGTGGAGTTAGTTTATTTACTTTCCAATATATGTATATTTTTGTTTACTTATTTATTTGCTTATTTTTACTTTCTGCATGCAGAAGAGCAAACCCAGGGTCTCATATTTGCTGGGCAAATAACCACTGAGCTATGCTCTTAGCCCCACAGTTCTAGTTTTTAAAACATCTTCTAGTAATCTACCAAAAAAAAACTTTAATATTACTATGAAATCAAATGCAATAGCATTTATAGGACATCTCACAAAACAGATGCCAACATCAGTAGCCCAGACGGTTGTCCAGAAGGAAAATGGCCTCCAGCATACCCGAAAGATGCTGCACATTGGTGATCCAAGCGTGAAAAAGACTGCAGTCTCCCTCCTGAGGAATCTGTCTCGGAATCTTTCTCTGCAGAATGAAATTGGTGAGTTGGTAAAGTGCCTCATGTCATAGGTACATGTTGAAAATATAAGTGCAGTAAGACATTGTTGCTATCACATTCTTTTTGCAGTGATGAACTAGAAATGTGAGTAAAGGGCAGAAGGTGGTAAGTAGGTCTGGCTTTTGTGCCATATAACATCAAGGGCAGACTTTCTTACTGGTCTCAAATTAGATTGCTCTTAATACACAGACTTTTAGTTTGCTTTAATTACTTACAGAGGAGAAATTTTAAACCGTACTAATATTTCACTAGATAAGCAAGATGTTTGACATTTTTCATCCTTCAGCCATGCCTCTCAGTGAAGTCTTTTTAAATTACGTAGATATTGTTCAGGATATTCCCCATTTGACCTGCTTACGCGCCACTGTTCTAGAACATCAAGAAAACATACACGGTGGTTGTTTACCTTAGAAGGTTGGCAGTGTGTTGGACTGGAAAAGGAAAGAATAGACAGGTAATCACAAGAAAAAGACAAAAGGAACCTGAATGTGGCAGATTTGGCATAGACGTCTTTAGAATAGATACAATGAAACCTAGTTGCCTTTTGTTGTTGTTGTTTGAAAGACTGCATTTCTGATGATGATGATTACGATGGTAAGTTATCATAACATAATTTTTCATTCATTTGCTTATACCAGGAAATATTGGATAAATGCTTGTTAAATCCGGTAAAAATATGTAAAATGAGATAAAAGGAAGACAATGCTAAAATTATGCATACTTTCTAATGCTCCATAAGTTGATCATTTCTAACAACCTAAATTCAGTTTTTCACAAAAGTCCACTAAAATTATAAGCAAATTTTTATTTGTTTCTCTTAATGGTTAAGTTTTGGAATCTGCACACACAAATAACCCAGGGATATTGAAGTCTGCTGTGTGGTTTAGTCACATCATTTTTAAAGACTAGCCAGCAGCACACTTGACAGGAGGTTTTGTACAATAGTTTCAAGCCCATTATAAATATAAGGAGAGCCTGGAAATTTCCACTGAATCTAAAAGAAGCCTTGCCATGGGCATTCTCAAAATTATGAAAGTGCTCTTCCTATTTGCCTTTTGTGGGCTTTTGTGCTAGCTTCTATAGAGGTATATTATCCTTTAGCTTTTTTTTTTCCTTTGCCCATATAAAACATTGACTCCATCTCTAGAACATTGCCAAGGAAAATAACTGTTGTGCACATTTGCACGTACCTTTGGGACAGAAATGCTGTGAGTTTTTGGTCCTCTAAATGTTGGAAAGGTGTTGTAACACTGCTAAGCCTCACTCTAAGAACAAGAGAGAACAGATCTCAGCAAGATAAATACTGTTTTAAAATTCCATATTGGTTTTATGTAACATATTATTTTGATTCTGAGTTTTAATAGCCAAGAATGAGTGAAAATCTGTTAGAATACATCCTTTGAGTTTCTCATGAGAGATTTCTATGCCAGGGAACTTTCCATGTGCCAACCTGGAATGAAGTTATCACATTTTACTTGAGTTTACAGAAAAAAAAAAAAGTGAAACATTTTTTCTCAAAAACTTGAAGATAGGCAACATGTCAGAGAGAAGAGATGGATTGCATGCCACAAAGTTACTACTTTGCCAACCCATGTCACCTTAGCTAGTCACTTAACTGCTGCACACCAAGGGAGATGAGTAATTACTGCCTCATGGTGTTTTTCCAAGGATCAAATTAAGTAATGTGTGTATAAGCCCTGGTAAGTGGTAGACATCTCAACAATTCCAGTTCACATTAGTGTTTTCAGATATCCAAATATTAAAGATCTACCAGGCCCACAGTCCACTCTGGAATATAGATATATAGATATCTACTGTGTGTGTTTGTGGAGAGGGAGAGAGAAAGAAAAATGTAGATATGGATATAGATATACACCCTCCCGTATTTTTTTTTTTAGAGAGAGAATTTTTTAATATTTATTTTTTAGTTCTCAGTGGACACAACATCTTTGTTGGTATGTGGTGCTGAGGATCGAACCCAGGCCGCACACATGCCAGGCGAGCACGCTACCGCTTGAGCCACATACTTTTTTGTGGTATGAATTTTCTAATAAAAATAAACATGATAGAAAATGTTAGATTCTAATTCCTTTATTTGCCACTTCTCCTTAGCCATGACCCTGAATTCTGACCTTAACTTTGATCTACAGAGGTGGACACTCATGGCACAGTAAGGAAGAGAAGGTGGGCAAAGTTCTCAAGTAGACAGCCTGGGTCTCTGCTGCCATTGCTGTAGCCTCAAAGAGATTGATCCGGTGTTTGTTGTGCAGTGGTCTTGGGCTTATCTCCATATTATTCAACTAAATTCAGTGAAAGGAAAGTTCATGTTCTCAAGGTCTTTGATACTGTGGTTTAACTTATTGAAAGGAGGAAAGCTGGGGCTGGGCATAGGGCTCAAGCGGTAACGTGTTCGCTTGGCATGCGTAGGGCGCTGGGTTCCATCCTCAGCACCACATAAAAAATAAATAAAATAAAGATGTTGTGTCCACTGAAAACTGAAAAAAAAAAAAGAGAAAGCTTCTGATAATAACAAGCATCTATTTAGAGCTTACTGTGGGCAGGGCACAGTTAATACACAGTAGCTCACTAATTCCCTAAAAAAAGAAAAGAAAAAAAAAACTGTGAAATAGATACTGTTATGATACCTAATGTACAAATTAGGGAAATGCAACACTAAGAAGATAAGTAGCTTGTTAAGGCTCAGAGTCATTAAGTACCAGAGCAGGACTCAAACTAAAGAAGTCTGGCTCCAGAGGCTGAGCTCTGGGATTTTAACACTATGCCATGATGATTAGACATAGTAGTGTTTAGGCCTTTAAGCAGAAAGCATGTCTTACCTGCCAATCAGGTCTGGTCATGATCTAATGACAACATATCATTCATTTTATTGAGTACTCATTTTATTGAGTACCTCTCTGTTTCAGGAATAATGAGTGATGCTAGAAACACAGAAAAAAAAGGTAGTTGTAGTTAAGAAACCCATAGTCCCACTTGAAATTCAGACAGGCACATAACTAATTATAATCCAGTAATAGAAACACATGGTTCAAGGTGCCACATGAATACAAGAACAATAAGATATTTGTTACACATCCATAATAAACACAACACTGTATTAAGGAGCTGTGGGGAATAGCATGAGCTACAAAAACATGCTCTCAGTCTTGAAAAGGAGATCCTGAATAGTTAGAGAAAAAAGAAGAAAACATATGTGTAAAGAATTATTACAAAATTTAAGTACAAATTTATTTATATTGCCCAAAATATTTAGACCTTGGGACAAATCATAGTGAAATCTTCAAATATTAATACCTCTCTTGCTACTATTTAAAAAAGCTGAACTTAACATTCTAACAAAGAAGTTACACAGATGGTGGAAAAGAATATTTAAAATTGTTCATTTCTCTTTAAGATAGTGGCTTATCTAAGTATTGAAAAACCTCTGAGCCAGACGTGTTGATGCATGCCTATAATCCCAGTGGATTGGGAGGCTAAGGCAGGAGGATCCCAAATTCAAAGCCAGTCTCAGAAAAAGTGTGGTGCTAAGCAACTCAGTGAGACCCTGCCTCTATATAAAATACAAAATAGGGCTGAGGATGTGGCTCAGTGTTTTGAGTTCAATCCCTAGTACCATCCCCACCATAAAAAAAAAAAAAAAAAGAAAGAAAGAAAGAAAAGAAAAGAAAAACCTCTGGGAAGTACAGATAATTTTTGAAACAAAATTTAGGTTCTCATTAATACTATTGTAAAAACAGTTTTTATTAACATTTTAGTGTAGTTCTCATATGTTTTCTTTTATAGAATCAGGTATACCCATAAGTCCTGATATTTCACATAGAATATTAATACAAACATTTTCCTGTTATACATGCTTAACAGATGTGTTTTGGAATGTATAGGGTTCTTTACATGTATATTTTAGCTAATCATATTCCTGTTATTTGGCTATTTAGGCTTTTATAATTTTTCACTCATATATAATACAATCAGAAAGATCACTGCAGAAAACTTTTTCTATTTTTAAAGTGAGTCTCTCAGGTGTATTCCCCGAAGTGGAATTACTGAATTGAAGAATATGAAAATTTTTAGATTCTTGTCACTTTTGACAAATTACTTTGTGAAAAAATTCTCAATAAGCTGAGCATGGAACATCTTCAAATGTTTAAATTTGATTATTAGAAAAGTTACTTCTTATTTGTTGAGGAACTGTGTTTCCTTTTTTTTTTTTTAATGTCTTTTACTCAAAATGTATTAGGATCTTGGGATTAAGAAAAATCTTCCTAATCAAGTGTCTTTTCTGTCATCTTGTAGCCAAAGAAACCTTACCCGATTTGGTGTCTATAATTCCCGACACAGTCCCAAGTAATGACCTTCTCATTGAAACTACAGCCTCCGCCTGTTACACCCTCAACAACATAATCCAAAACAGTTACCAGAATGCACGAGACCTTCTGAACACAGGGGGCCTGCAGAAAATCATGACCATCAGCGCAGGCGACGCGTAAGTCCTTCAGTATCTGCCCATCAGTCTCCCGCTTCCCTACCACCTCCCCAGTGTAAGTATTCTAGTTGTGAATGTGCCTTTGATGAGTACCACAGGCAGAATGGCTACAAACACAATCACAAAACTGGCCCAGACTGTCCAGTGATGAGGCAAGTGAAGAACTGAATCAGCCAACCCACATGGTTGTCCATTCTCCTCTAACCATCAAGAGAGGGCCAAACTCTATACCTTCTCTTGGCAGTGTATTCCAGCATTGTATCGACCTCATGAATTCGTTCCCCAGCACCACCACTGTGATCTAAGAGAAGCAGAGGCAAGGTTGGATCCTGTGGCAGCTTAGACTGAGCAGTGAGAGCAGTGGATGGCAGCTGCCAAGAAATTTTTGCTTTCTCAGTTTTCCCCGTCACATCCCTTCCACATCTGATTCCCTTTTTGCAAATAGAAGTCCCAATCCTGTAAATCATCTCCCATTCCTAATTCTGGGTATAACTGAATTATTACTATTCGTTAATTTAGAGTGATGGATGGGAAGGAACATAAAAACTATTGTCTCTTTCTCTTCATACAATTCTCTCAGAATTGTTTGACTTGTTATCTTCCTACAAATACAAGATTTTTTTTTTCTTTTTTAATGCTAGAGTTTAAACCCAGGGCCTGGTACATGTTAGGGAAATACCCTACCACTGAGCTACATCCCCAGCCTTATAAGTTATCTTTGTAAATAACCAGGGGAAAAAAATGTCATTATTGCCTAATTTTAATTAGTAAACAGACTTTACCTGTAGTGGACCAATGTGTGTTCAGCCATATGGAGGTGAGAACGGGGGTCTGGGATATCCAGGAATGAGCAGTCATCCCCTCCAGTGCCTCCCTGCCCAAGGCTCTGCAGCCTGCCTCTGGCAAAGCTCACGAGGAAAAAGTATCACAGAGCCAGGTGATCAAAAACAAGCCTGGAGCCCTGGCTTGAATATCATTTCCCAAAAAACAGAGAGCATTCACCTCTTCCCAGAGCCTGACAGGTAGCAGTTACCTTTGTGGGAAAAAAAATGAATTATTACTACAAAACAGAAACAACTCTTCCAAGTTGACACTTAAACTCTAAGCAAACCTCCCTCAGGTGGTAAATACATACTAAGGTAGTATGATTTTAATTAATTGAGTATTCGGATATAATAGTTGTTGCCCTTAGGAATACAACATCACTTTTGGACACTTCTAATAGCTTAGCAAGTTAGGGGGATGTACTACTGTCACTTGTGTGTTGCCCTGAAGGTCTGCTTATGAGTGGGTCCTCACATGACCTCTCAAAAAAAAAAAATCAACAGGCATTCTGTTTTTCCTGCTGTTCTTTCCCAATTGAGTGTTAAATATCTGACCTATCATTAATGAGCTAGCCTGGGAACTCATTATCATCTACAACATTACACCTTTGGATAAACGAGTTCCCAAGTGCCAAACAACCAACTTTTAAACAAACTTTATAAATATAACCACCCTGCAATTTAAGAACTTTTTATGGTTTGGGGTATGAGAGACTCATAGCTTTCATGGATTTATTTATATTCAGTTATCACGTACTAAAAATCAGGGCTGGCAGGAAGGAGCAAGGATTTCAGCTGATGATTGACCTCAGCGTGCTCCTCTCCCCACAGCCTGGCTTTCTGGATTCTTGCTTGCATGTTTACAACTCCTGTGATGTGGAAGAGGGACAGAAAAAAAACATAACCTTTGTTTCTTTGTTTAAAAAAAGAAAATTCAAAAAAAATAAAAGAAAAAAAAAGAAAATTCAACCATGTACTAATGAGGTGTTGGGAGAGAAAGAGATCCAAGAAGGCACTGATCTTTGGTCAGATATAGGAAATTGAGGTTACATTTAAAAGGGAACATCAAAAACAAATATCAGTGTCAACTTCAGTGGTGACTTGGATTTAAAACAGTCACGAGTTCTCCATTTATTCTAAGACATAAAGTGATTCTGAAACCATTTTAACAAGTGCTGCCACAAGAATTTCTTTTATTAATTAACAGCCACTGAGTCTATGAGGTATGTATGTATATCCAGTCGTACATTCCTACATTGATGTTTAATAAATACATATCATAAATATACAAATGTAAATTGTATTCTATTAGTAAATTCAAGGATTTGTAACATGTCTACGGATGTATTCCTTATAAGTATTAGGAATTTTCTCTATAAAATACTTATTATTAGCACAGCCCTAGTGGTTTAAAAAGATTAAAATAACAACTAAAGGTAAGGGCTGGGAGGCGCTCAGTGACAGAGCACTAGACTAGAGTGTGTGGGGCCCTGGGTTCCATCCCAGCACCACAAATAGAGAGCAAGAGTGGTGCATCATCTCCCATTCTCAGCCACCTCCTTTGGCTGCCAAAGCAGTGATTGAAAACACAGAATATGGGAAGGCAACATCCAAACCCCCTCACACATCTTGCCCTGTGCTTTTCTTTCCAGCTATGCCCCCAGCAAAGCCAGCAAGGCTGCCTCTGTGCTGCTGTATTCTCTGTGGGCACACACGGAGCTCCACAACGCCTACAAGAAGGTAAGAACGCTGACGGCCAGCATGTCGCAGTTACAGAGCCAGGTGACCGTGACCTGCCTGGCACTAAACCACTAGAAAACTGCATTTTCTTATGTGAGAATTGTGTTGCCTTTCATGTTTCTGTCTGTTTTTTCCAAAGGCTCAGTTTAAGAAGACAGATTTCGTCAACAGCCGGACTGCCAAAGCCTACCACTCCCTTAAAGACTGAGGAGGATGAAAACTTAACCTCAGATATTTCAGCCTCACTATACTCAACTGCAAAAAGCCCCAAAGGAAAACACCTATTTTTCTACAACCCAGCCCAAGAAACCTCAAAAAGCATGCCATGTTTCTATCCTTTTCTATTTCCATGGTCCCCAGAATGCAGAAAACAAATAATCAGGACATAATTTTGGTAGGCTTCCAGGAGATTTTTGCAAGTGCTCCACCAGGAGATAATGGCAACCAGTTCTGCGTTACCCTCTACAAAAGCCATCTTGGTTATCCAGGCCTATGGTGCGTGGCCTTCTAGAACCAAAATGTGAATTCATGTGGCAGTTAACAGAATACATAAGGAAAGAAGCTGTTGTATTACTAGAATTTTAAAAGTTTGATTTACACTTGTATTCCTTTTCTGGTTTCCAGTTTTTATCATTCATCTTCACATTGCTTCATCATTGAGCCACAAGTGTATTATTCTGCAGTATTGAAACAGATCAGAAATGCAAGAAATATTTGCAGAGTTATCCAGAAGAAAGTGTAATGGCAAAATTGTTTGTTTACTTTGAGCTTATTTTTATCCTCTTGGGTTTTTTTCCCCCCACCCTGATTTTAAATGAATTTAAGAAGTTTAGATTACAAAGCACATATGACTGACTATAAAAGAAAGAAATTGAGAGGAAGTGAGTATACCAAATTTAAGATTTTTTTTTCCATAAAGATAGGTAACTAAGGTTATAAAATCCAGTGTTCTCCCTAAGTGCTAAGTAAATGAGATTTTTGCTAAAGGAAATACTTTGCCTACAACACCACTATTAAATGCAAATTTCTTCTAACTAGTGGCATTCGGTACCATCTATTTCCTGTGCTTTTTCAGCCACTGCATTGGGCTGGTGGAAGAATGGACTCCACTCCTGAGTTCTAAGAGGAACCACAGGGATCCCTTAGACTGCTGGGCCAGCTTTGGGCACTGAAACAGCTCTAATGAGTCACTATCAAGCAGCCCAACTTTGTCCAACATTTAAAAACTAGCACAAAACCACTAAGTCTTCTGTGATCTTCCTCAGGCCATTATCTTAAGCCAAGAAAACTCTAGAGGAAAAAAGTGAAGAGGTTGAGGAGAACTGAGAAGATGTCAAGGCCATCCAGAAGCGACTTGAGAAGCACTGACTAATCAGTGCTTAGAAGGCTAATCATGTCTAGTAAAGTAAATCTGCACAAAATGTTGTTTTAAATGGGCTGTGATTAAAACATTCAGAGAATTAGTCTTCAAGGCTATAATTCTGTTATATTTTGTTGCTTTGGAAAAGTCTAACAATGTTTGTCATAAAAAAGTAAGAGAAGACTCCTTCGGATCATTTTGGCCAGGAAAAAAAAAATGTAATAGAAAATAAATTCTTATTTCCAATTAAAATGTGTATGTAAGTCTTTATATTTGTAACTTAAACATTTTTTTGACTGTTACAACTCAGTGAAGACTACTAGGTTACTAACTCAGGTCAAACTGAAATTATTTAGATGTCCATTTTTTAAATACTATAAGAGAGAATTTATATCTCTTTTCCAGATTTCTAACAATAAGCATTTGGAGTTTATTTCTCCAGGTAATTGATGTATGTTCAAAAGTTCCTGTGTTTTGGGGAGCATTAATAGAGACCTTAATAATACTAAATACAGAATGAGGCAAAAATAACATTGCCTGCATAGGTATTTATATGTATATGATTTGTTTACCTTTCTATATGACAGGAGAGTCGAGGATTTGACCTTGTAAACTTCAATTACTTTTAAATATCTTCTTATTATTACTATTTCTTTCCTAATTAGAGTCCTAAATTCTTTATCAAGGAACAACCTGTAAGGGCTGGGGTTGTAGCCCAGTGGTAAAAAGCACTTGCCTTGTATGCATGAGGCCCTGGATTCAATCCTTAGCACCACATAAAAATAAATAAATAAAGATATTTTAAAAAGAAAAAATGAAGAAAAAAAAAAAGAAACATCCTGTAAGAATACAGGACTAGCTAGTAACTAAACTATATAAAAATGGAAACATACAAACGTGCTGGCTATTGTTAGATTTAATATGTTGAAGGGGTCTGTGTCCATGAAAAGACGGGCTATATTTGATCCTCATATCCTGCTTTGTCCCTCTGTTTGCAAACATTTCCCTCCTTTACTATTTGTGAACACCTTTGAGGGAAATCCTTATATGAGTGAATATCAGTTTGGACCATAGGTCTATATACAAAGCTCTTTTTTCTTTTTCTGTATGTCCCTGATTATGCCCATGCCATCAAAGGAACTAACAGGCTTTCTTATTTATTTTACTAAGAATTCCAAAGGGTTGATTCTATGTCGATAATTCTTAATGGTCTTTTGGAATATGGGTAGTTGCCACCTTAGATTCCATTACTGGAAACATCTGTTTCTACCTGATGGAAATAACCAAAGGGTTATCTGACAAGATAAAGAGGGGATTAACATGTCCAGTGGGAAAATAAGCAGGAGGAGAAAAACCACTTTAAAACCAATTTTACCACTCTCTGAAGAAGCAATTCCTCACATAAAACAGAAAATTGAACATGTTTAGGAATTTACAGACACTATAGGTAGTGAGATTTCTTCTAAATAAATATGTAATAAACACTGCATTGTAATGAGGAGGACTTTGGTATATGTACTTCGAACAAAATTGCAGAAGAAACCTCAAATCACATAATCGTGGGATTAGGAAGGAATTTAGAAAGCATCTGGTCAAGTCCTCCTTAAAGTATCTTCTTGCGTCAAAAGAGACCCAGTTCTTATTAATGTGAAAGCAGAGAAACAATTACACATAGAACTAAATACCCAACAAGACCTCTAACTGGTCCTTTTTAAGATTCAGTGACTGTTGCATTGAAGTATTTATTGTGCAAGAAAAGAAACAAAATTTTAAAATAAAACTTGGCTCTAAGGTTAACTTTTTTAGTTTAACAGTGTTCCTGACAGTTTCACCACTTATGAAATAAATTCAACCTTTTAAGGTCTCTCAGGAAAATTCTTTTTGTGATACCATGTTTAGGAAACAGAGATCCAAATGCCATATGGTAGCATAAGAGCTGTTTAAAGTCTGAGCAGAAGGGAAGGCGTTCTGAAAACCATAGCCTTTGAGACTCAGTTAAAGTCCAGCAGTATTTAGCCTGGAGAAGGCATCCCACTTAGCACTTTGTGTTCTCTGGAAGAGCTCTGTGTGGAAGATGGCAGTCTTATTCTGACACAGTGCCAGGTCAACAGGTGGAAGTTTCTGTGAGCCTAGCTTTGGATAAGGTGGGAAATGCTGAGTCCTCCTCACAGCCTCCCCATAAAGTACAGATTTTCTTTATCCATGGGAAAACCCTGAAACAGGCATTGAGTCCCATTCCCAAAGTCACAGCTAGAAAGTGCAGAGGATCTATATGAAGCCAGTCCTCTCTGGGGGTCTCCTGCAAACCCAGTGAAAAACTCATGTCTCCATGCTGATGAACTGGGGGGGTGGATCTCTTTGGCTTTGCTCTTTGGAGAGAAATGACTACAGTATTGCATCACATCTAAGAGGACTGACTAAACAGCCAGGCTGAGTTCAAATTGTAATTTGTCTCTTCTTAGCTGGGATTTCTTATTCTTACTGAGCCTGAGTTTTCCTTGCCTATGATATGTAAGTGATGGTAGCATTCATCTCACTGCGTTGTTCTGAGGATTAACTTTTAATAAATACAGACCATGTAAAACAGTGCCTGGCAGTATGTACTCAATAAATTCTAGCTAAATAATTTGGAGTTCCTTAGAGGTCTCTGCTTTTCTTTTTTAATTCATCTCTTGAATTTCTTTTTGCAAATATGGCTGGTTCCGCTAAAAACCCCAACACTTCTCACCCAGCCATTTCTTTCTCTCCCTCTCTTTCCTCTCCCCCTTCCCCCCAAACCCCACCACACACACACACACACACACACACACACACACACACACAGGCTCACCCCTTCATGGGCTAGGTAGAAATGAGGAAAATAAATATAGGTCAGGCCAGCAATTCTGAATGCCTGCTCCTCAGAACATGAACACTTTGTGGGTTTTTAACTGTTACATGAAAAGAACTATCCCACATTTAAATAAGTTTGAGAAAGGCTGAGTTATAGAAAGATCAAAAGGTTCTTGACTACAGAACTTCCTGGAGTCCCTCATGCCAGCATGCATTGAGAAATCTCCAAGGAGTGAATCAGTAAGCCCATTTTTTTTTTCTTCCATAACTCTTGAAGCTGTGCCTTTGTTATAAATACTTCAACCGACAGAGGCAAAAGAATGAAAGGTGTTTGATTTTTATCTGGTCCCTGGTCCAGTTCGTCAGACTCAAGTCTCAACTACTAATGAACCAACCATACCTGTGGCTAGTCTTGAGCAATCTCAGTAAAATCTAAAAGTCAGTGATCTCAGTAGATTTCTAGAACCATTTATTAACATTTTGTTTCATGCTCACCTGGAATGCTGCTAATCTACAGGCAGAGGGTAGCTATCAGCCCAGAGAAGTAGGTCAAGGCCACAACAGATGAATGTTGGTCAGCCTCTACCAGGCTAATCAGACTTTCCCATAAATCTCACATCTGTCAGCAGGTAAATCTCTTAGAAGCCTGAATTTTGTGTGTAAACTGCTAATAATACATCTGGCAAGGAATTAAAAACAAGTCCAAACCCTTGCAGTTTTCTTACAACCATAAAAGATATTCTTCCCAATCCTTAGGGCGAATTTTTTTCTTTTTTTTTTTAAGGCAAAAGTTAGGGTTTTCCATTTTTAAATACAACTTTCAACATACATGACTTGCAAGCCAGGCACAGTGGTGCACACCAGTAATCTTAAGATACTGGAGAGTTTCGGGCAGGAGGATTACAGGTTTAAGGTCAGCCTCAGCAATTTAGTGAGACCCTGTCTACAAAATACAAAATAAAAAGGGCTGGGGATATAGCTCAGTGGTAGAGCTCTCCCTGGGCTCAATCTCCAGTACAAAAAAAAAAAAAAGATACATATTACTTTGAATTCCTAGTCCTGGAGTTGATAAAAGTGTGACTATGAGGAAGGGCCTCTCAGATCTTGGTAAACCAACTTTCATCCCAATTTCTATAATATCTTTTCTTCAACTGAGAAATGAAATTCAGAATAGGTTGCTCTTAAAACCAAGAATTAGTTGGTGTGAGAAGCAGGAAATTGTTAAGATACCTGCAATGTTAGCCAGAAGAAATAGAATTAATGACAGTCAAGAAAAACAACCCATGGCAACTGCATATTAAGTAGGGAAAATTCCAAGATTCAGAATATTGACAAAATTTTCCCTTAGAAACTTTTGTTTGTTTTGCCCTTTGATCTAACTGAGGATTTTCAAAGTCCTAATTTTAAAAGTAAAAATAATCTATTTTAATGGTATTGCTTTAGCAGCTCTATATAAGAATTACGTGTGACCATAGTAAGTAACACATTCCCATCTTTTATGGTAGTGGTTCAATACCTAACGTGACCCAATTCCACATCTCACGTTGTATTTTTTCCTTCTTTAATTTATCACTTAAGATGGTTCATTTACATTCAAGTAACAAAAAAAGGTCAAAATAGCTCAAGCAATAAGTTGTGTTTATCTTGCATAACAGGAAGATCAGGATCAGGCTTGGCTATTGCAGTTGTCCATTTATAAGTACAGTTTTATTTTTAAGAACCCAGATTCTTTGTCTTTCTACTCTCTCATGCCCTACATGTTATGTTGGCTTTTGCTCTCTGAGTATCTCTTATAAAATGGTAGCAGCCTCTCCAAATATCCCATCCTCAGAGCCCATTCACAAGCTAGAAGAGCAAACAGTCCTCTCTTGCATTCTTTTTTTAATAAGTACAGAAAATTTTCCTAGAAGTCCCCATGAGACATCTCTCATTCATTTTTCATTGTCCAGAATTACATTATATGTCCATTCCCAAGCCAGTTCCTGGTAAGAAAAAATGAAACCACTAATCCTATGAACCAATCACCCTTCACTCAAGACTGGACTTGCCCACACTCCATAGAATCATGAAAGGTGAATACTTGAAGGAAGTCAGGATTTTATTGAACAAGGATGGGGGAAAGGCTACAGAGTAGTCAAGCAACAGTATCTACTATATGTAGAGACATTCAGAGAAGAAGAATACAGCAAGGTTTAGCAAGTTATTTCATTTGGCCTGTAAGCTCACTACGTTCTTTCAAACACTTAAGTGTTTTTATTTCAGGTTTTTCTGTGATGGTTGTTGCATTGCATTTAGGACAAAATCCATGAATGTTTGTGGATAGTTAGCCCAATAATCATTTCAAGGGGAGTAATAAAAGGGACTAACAAGACTGAAGCTCATTTGAACAATAGGAGGCACAGCTACTTTTTTATTTTCTTGACATCCATCTTTCCAAACCTTGAAATAGTCATTATGGAACTGAAGTTAAGCCTCCATTGATAAAATCATCTTGGAGGAACGTCAGCTTGCATGTGAGATTGAATGGTCTTCTGTATCTCATGGAGATGTTGGGTGGGAGCAGGTTAATTTCACTGTTAGAGTCTGTAAACAAGTCAGGATGGCGCCTGGCAAAATGCCAGAGGGAGTGGTTTGTGAAGTAAGGCCGTAGAGCCATTAAGTGTGGAGATTTCTTATTGGTTGACTGATGTATCTAGTTTATGCTAATTAAGATAAGCTGTGTGGAATGTATATATACCCCTCCTGTCCTACAATAAACGGCTCCCACTCCTGCTGTATCAATCTACACAAGTTGTTTGTCACCCCCGGTTATTTTGCTGCAGCCAGACTGTGGCATTTCACCTCATTGCTTCTTTCATAATATTATTCAGGGGATAAAGTAAGATAATGTTTCCAAAATGCCTTGCACCTAGCCACTCAATGAAAGGTGGGGACTACTTCTTCCTTCTTGTAGAATTTTGCCAGCCAAGGATCTCCAGGGGATTCTGCTTTCTCCCACCCCCATGCTCTCCACAGTATCCAAGGGATCATCTTCAAACAGAAAGCAAATCCCCAAACAGGGAGTGATAAGAGAAAGGAAAGAAAACTTACCTGCTGAATCCCATCTTGCCCTCCAGACCCTCCCATGTCTCCAAGTTGGCAATCACTTCTCTTCTTCTGATCTGTTAGCCACAACCCCATAGTCCTTGACCTATCCTTTTCCACACCAAAGCCCACCTTCTTAGAGAATTCAAATCAAGGGAACCTTCCAGGGAAAAAAAAGTGGCAGGACTCACCTCCTTGCTGCTGGGTTGCAACGGGAGACAGTGTGTCATTGCTGACTCAGGTAGAAATATTGGACATGTTTTCCTTAAAAAAAAAAAAAGAAAAGAAATCATTTGTGCTACCCAAGGTAAATAATGGGTTAGTTTAGCCCAACAGTAAAGAACAATTTCCTTTTCTGAAAAAAAGACTAGTTTAGGGGAAGAGTATTTGAAACCAGTAAATGTTTATATTTGTATGAAAGTTGGGTGTGGAATAGACTTCTACCACCATTTCCTCTGTCTCCTTTTTCCAGAACAGTATATGTAATACCCAGAGTAAAGACTTACATTTCCCAGCCTCTCTTGCCACACAATATCTTTATTTATTTTTATGTGGTGAAGACATATGGCTAGGTGTCAGCCAATGGATACAGGTGAAGTACAATTCAACAGCTCTTCCAAACCTGCTCTCAGGGATAGGGGGCATGTGCCCTTCCCCTCCTTTCTGCTGATGCTGCCTTCCTGAAACTTAGAATACAGGTCGTGTTCTCAAGCAGCAGTGCACCGGCCCATCAGACATCACACACATGAGAGAAAAACTTTTGGGGTTTATGCCATTATTTTATTTTTTATAACTTACAATCAAATAAATATAATTGTAACTGTTACTTTTTGACACATTTGTCTACAACAACAAAATCAATTTAAAAAAAAAAAAAGTCTTCACTGGGCCTGGTGGCACACGCTTGTAATCCCAAAGGATTGTGAGTTTGAGGTCCACCTCAGCAACTGAGCAAGTTCCTGTTTCAAAAAGTAAAAAGGGATGAGGATGTAGTTCAGTGGTAGAGACCTCCTGGGTTCAACCCACAGGAGGAAAAAAAAACATTTCAAACCCAGAAGATACTCTGCCTCTGTCCTAGGTCAGAACACCAATACAAGTTAAAGCTATGAACAAAAATAAAAGAAAGTGGGGCTGGGGATGTGGCTCAAGCAGTAGCATGCTCGCCTGGCATGTGTGCGGCCAGGGTTCGATCCTCAGCACCACATACAAACAAAGATGCTGTGTCCGCCAAAAAATAAATATCAAAAAATTTTCTCTCTCTCTCTCTCTCTCTCTCTCTCTCTCTCTCTCTCTCTCTCTCTCTCAAAAAAAATAAAAATTAAAAATAAATAAAATAAAGTAAGTTGAATTCAGTGAGTTAATTTTATGTTCAGATACCTTTATCCTGTGGATAATACTCTTGACAAAGCAATCTTAAGCTATGTTCTGAAGTTAATTCTATTAAATAGGCAAAATACATACAGTTCTGGGTGAGAATTAGACAGCACAGATCTGACATAATGGTGTCAAATTTCCCTAGAGAAGCATGCCTAGAATAGATGGGGTGGGTGGGTGGGGGATACACAAAGTTTGATCTATTAAATTATGTGACTATCCTAGAGCCAAGATACAGAAACAACCTAAGTGTCTATCAGATGAACTGATCAAGAAAATTAGTATACACATACAATGGAATATTATCCAGTCTTTAAAAAGGAGGAAATCCTGTCATTACTA